GTGTGTGTGTGTGTGTGTGTGTGTGTGTGTGTGTGTGTGTGTGTGTGACCTCTCTGATATACTGTCATAACTAATAGTTTTTAAATGCATTTTATACATTTAATAGGGCTTTTACCATCATCCTATACTTGTGGCTCTCTGCTAGTTTGCTATAATCAGTGAGTTCTGATCTGGAACAGCCTGCATACTGGGCTATTGTACATTAGGACATTAACTAAATAAGTCAACCTGCTTTTTAGATTTCTCCCAGAGCCTCTGTTTTCCCCAGGGGGCACAACAGGGAGTCAAGATTCAGGATGAAAGTTCAGGTCTGGAAGTTACTGCTAAATCTGTGAGGGTCCTTCCCAAGCTGTTCCTTGCATTGTTGGAGGTCTGTGACTGAAAACAGGATGTAAATGTGGATTCTCCTGGTGGAGCGAGGTGCTTGTTTTAAGGGGACTGGTGTAGGCATACGAGAAGATGTCGGTAGAAGGCTTCACTCTCACTATGCTGTATAGGGCTGCCTTCCTTCTTTCTGGTGACTTATGGAAAATGCAGGCATGGCATAGAACTCCATGAAGTAGGAGGAGGTACAGCCTCTGGCCCCTGGGTTTCAGCTTATATTAAGGCCAGATAATAGTACAGTAAAATAGTAGCCTCTTTTTCTTTAGTTCTCGTGATCAAACTTATCCTAACTCTTGAGGAAACAGTGTTGTAAGGAGTCCAAGAAAACCGAAGGCAAACTTCCCATTGATTATCCTAGGAGAATGACAAGTATTAGAGCTCTCAAGTGGAGAATCGGTGACACAGGAAGGAACAGATGGCATTTTTATATCAAAGAGCATGTGGCTCACAAACTAGTTTCTAAGCCTTTGGTGGCAACCGTCAGAAGTGTCTTCAAGGACAGTTGGGGGTTAAATCAAAAGATGGGAGTGGGGTGGGGGAGATGTGGTAATCATCTTGTGTTTTGTTGTTGTTGTTGAGACCTAGGGTAGACAGAGGGAAGACAGGTTCAATCTCTAGGACCAAACAGAAAAAATAACCAATTAGAAACCAGAAGACATGGAGCTTTCTCTTTTAATAAATTAATAGATTGATAACCCCTGAAACTGGATTTATCTAATGACTAGGAAGACACAGAATTACATAGCGTGCAGATTAGATTGCATCAGTCCTAAGCAAGGAACAATTTGAACTTGACTTCAGTCTGGACTTTGCTTTCAGACTTAGCAAGGCTACAGTTGTTACTCAATCAGTGTCAATGGAACATCCTCACTGCTGGCCTCTCAGAGTCCATTAGAAGTCAGGATCATAAGCCTCCTTCCTATCCTGCTAGGAAACCATCTTCATCTTTAGCAATATGCCCAGCTGCTATGTGTACAGGTAGCCTTGGTGACTGAGTTACAAGGTTTGTCTAATAGCTAGGAAGATGCAGAGACAGTCGGTCATCTACCATCTTCTAGCTCTGGCAATGGATCTGTGCCTTGGGGACCCTGGCAAATTGAGTCCTTCAGTGTTTTCAGTCTATACAGCACAATTGTTTTGGTCCAGAGTGGTCAGCAGGAAGAAGGGAGACTGTATATGTTCTGGCAAACATTTTGGACAAGTGAAAAAGCTAAAAGCAAGCCTGGCCTCCAGGTGCACTGTGTGAAGAAGCTTCTGTTTTGTAGGCATCTTTCAGACATACCATATAGAACATGCACAGTGCATCTGCTCATGGATTTTGAACTGGAATTCTGTAAAGTATTCGTCTAAAAAGAAAAATAGACTTGTAGACCCTGAAAATAAAGGGTGTCTCCTCATCAAATCACTTCTCTCTTGCCCTCCCTGCAGAAATGCCTCATTCATCTATTCCTGGTGTGTTCTTTCAGAAATACGTATGTGTGCACATGCAGAGCTAATGTATGCTTATGTCTTTTTCAGCACAAGTGGTTACATGCAAATATAAGTGACAGAATATACATGCAACACGTGATATAATTTACATGCACACATGGGTGTGGTACAATTTTCATGCATACATCGTAT